GACGGTCCAGGGGGGGGGGGACACGCCGGGATATGGGCAACGTACGGGCGATTTGAACCAAGTCTTGGTCGACGTGGTTGGGCCGCTTCCTTCGAGGGTGATAGTCGAGGAGCACTTGACGACATAGCGAGTGTCAATGTTGGGCGGCTGCTGCTTGAATATCGGCAGCTTCTCGATTGCCGGTCGAGTAAGATGGGCAAGAGCATCCACTTGGCCGCTCATTTTGCAGACGGTTTTCTAGTCCCGGATATCAGTGTTTTTTTTTTCTTTTTGTTGTCTTCTTTTTTCTTTTCTTTCTTTTTCTTCTTGCTTCTTTTTTCTGTAATTGCTTTGGGGCGGCGAATACTGCAAAGTTGATGGAGTGTAAACCGCTGCTTCATTCAAATCCCAAGTTGGATCCCAGCCGGCTTTATATACATGTCCATCTTCCTCTATCACACCTATTCAGCTTCTGGCGTCACCTTTCATCACTCCCCCGCGTAGCCCCCCAAAGACAGTCTGCATGTCTCTCTCAGCTCGGCTCGGGCATCAAGCCGCAGCGTACGGCCACCCCCGGGCGGCGGCGCCACTTCCATTCATACATGTCATGTGGACAATCGATTTTTCTTCTTCTTCTTCATCAACATCACCAAAACTCCGAGACAGCTGAGCGTAATGCTGCCATACACAGGCCGCAAGGGTTTCATCCGGTCCGCTACGTGGCGCTCAAATGGAACCCCGGCAATTGGCAGTGCCAAGACACCTGGAGGAAGGAGGCGAGGCAGCAGATAGTTGCCTATACGTGCACACATTGGTCATGTAGTAGTGATTTCCGATTCCGCCGATCCTAGCCGGTATTATGGGTATTCTTGTTACGTTTTGAAAGAGGGGTACCACCATTACTTGGGGTTTGCTATGTTGAGATCGGCAAGTCGCCAGCGCTTTTTCCTGATGACGTTTGGTGGCTATATCAGGTTTCTACTACTACAAAGACATTTAAATAAGAGACACGGCCTGTGTGGGAGAAGAGTATAGAGTAGGGAAGGGGCCAAAAAAAGCCCGACAATAAGGGAATAGCTTGGCCCCCGATCCTAAGCAAAACGCGGCATCCCAGTGCTGTATTAAGCGTGGCCTCCGCCAAGCCGACAAGGCTGGCTGAACTTTAACTATCTTTTTATTCTCCAATGGAACCCCACAATCCTATCTTTATCCAAGTGCCTAGCATCGTCCTTGGTCAGTTATCGGCCTACATAAAAGTACAGTGACGAAAGTATTCGTGGACAGCCAGTCAACTCTGGGCGCGGGTTTCCCGTATCCGGGCAAGATGTGACAAATCAAATGCTCGAGACGGCATTGAAACAGGTTAACAGCGGTATAATTTGTAGCTTACAGGATTGCTGACCGAGTTACACGGCCGGCCGCCCTCGCTCCATTTCAGCTGCCGTTGTGAGCGACGTTTCGGCAATCATGCTAAGATAAGCCACCTGCGTAGAGCCATTGCCCATGGAGCTATAATAATGACTCTCTCTTTAACATCTATCTCCTCGTCGCTGCTGTGGGGAACCCGGGCGCACATCCTAACGCTCAAACCCCGGCCCCCCCGCCCAATGCGATGCTGCTAGACGCTTTCTGTCGCAAGGCTGACCAGGCCAGGCCTTCTAGATGGGCCCTGCCCATGTTTTCTCGGCCGAGTGCCTTCCTCCTCCGCGCAAGAAGCCCCTGTCGATAGGGATACGATAACCCCTCTTTCTATAGGTAGTCTTGACTACCCCTCTCTCTCTCTCCACGACCTCTGCAGAAAGGGGGGGGGGGAAGGCATTGCCTTGCAGGACCCGCGGACATGCAGCAGCAGCAGGCAAGCCCTGGTTCTGATTCGGCCATGCAGGCCTTGCTGCTCCGAGGCGCATGTCCGCATTCGGGCACAGTTCAACATGGGCGGCCACCCGCAGGGAGGCTTGTTCGATGACATGCCAAGAATCCAGGCCGCCACGGGGGTCTGGATTCTGCGCGCCTGCAAAGCACCCCAGACGGGGTGTCGCGGACGCCATGGCGACGACCAGGAAATCAGGCCATGTCACGACGGATCCTGCCGAGTCGCTCTGGCGGCGAAGACGAGACAATGCTGTCCGTTTTTGTGGAACGTTGTCTCTGTGGTGGTGTGCGTCGGCGCACAGTTTCACCTTGACGTGTTCCTTGGCCCGGATGGTTGGGTTGATTGGGCAGAGTGGCTGTCTTGACGGGAGCTGAACATGACACCTATCCGTCTGGAGGGCAGCTGAACATCTCTTTCGGTATTCTTGGAAGAGGGGATGCCGGGAGGTTGCTGAGCCCACGGAGCCAACGCCTTGGACAACGTTTCTTCTTTACGACGCAAGTTGGCCGGCGGCACTCTGTTGTATGATAGGACGGTATTGTCACACATGCTGTAGATGTAGCGACAGTTTCTAATCTGTTAGAGACTCTTTTTATAACCTGTTGAAGATTGTTTTAGAATTTTCTACGTCACCATCATACGTAAATATTCTAGTCACAGTCTAGCTGTGCAACTGCTGTCGCGTTGCGTAGTCCTGTCGCGCCGTCTACTCCATGTTCCACGAGACTACGAAATATGTCACGGTTTCTGGGCTTTGTTCTCAAGGCGCTAATTCTTTTATTGCCTTGCTTACTTATATACACTGTAGGCCTGGATTTCTAGAGTCCATACAAGGTGGAGGACACAGGCGGCTGTTCTCCGTGTTGGCTCATAATCACCAGCCTCAAATGGACATCCCACATGTATCAACGCGGCCATAACGCACTAGGTTTAAGTATTCCCGTACAAAAGACAGAGTATGCCCTCATACTATAATTAACCAAGCTTTTTTTTTGGTTTCATAAAAGGAGCACAGCAAAGAAGAGACGGCGCTTACCCTCACAAGGGACTCGTGGTGTAACGCCCAAAATGGTTTCCATTTTAAGCAAGAAGAGTCAAGGAGGACATGGCGGTTACCATCACTACTCGGGTGATGCTGGGCGTCTCCTTGTTACCATAAATTGGTTTCCAGCCTACACCTGGCAACGGGTGGGTGGCCAACCAACAACACATGCATCCATCATCAATCTGCATGCAAAGCAACGATCGGAGACATCAAGATTGCAAGCACGATCACGTACCTGCAGGAGTTTGACCGGGCCAAACCCCGTCCTATCTGCGGTAGGGCAGTTTTCCGATCGCCAAGATTAACCTGCTCACTCTTGTTCCTAGATTGCCAGATCGTCTCAACGCCACAACTCGCTCAAACTGCCTCACGCACGTGAAGGCGCCGCCCGATGGCTACTCTCGTCGAGCGCCTCGAGCGCCCCCCGAAGGAACCCTCCGGGCCCGAACCAGGCACTCTCCTCCACCTCCCCGAGGAGCTTCGCGACATCCTCGTCGACGAACGTGGCAAATGGAGAGACGAGTCCCCCGAGCTCAAGGACAGCGAATGGCTCTCATGCCTGGCGCGGACGAGCAAGAGGCTGAGCAGCGGGATGCTGAAGCGGCTGTTCGAGCCTGCCCCGAACGAACCCTCCGAGCCCACTGACCCGAAGGAACCTTCCAAGCCCACCCTGACTCTCCTCCACCTCCCCGACGAGCTTCTCGTCTTCATCATCAACGAAGCTGCCAAATGGAGCGACAAGCTTCCCGAGTTCACGGACAGCCACTGGCTCTTATGCCTGGCGCGGACGTGCAAGAGGCTGAGCGGCATGGCATTGAAAAGACTGTACCAACGGCCCTGCTCGGGCGCGAAGTTTCATCATGACACAATCCACCACCTGGTTGTCGCCCTCTACCAGCAGCCGGGCCTGGCCTGGCATGTTCGCGAACTCGTCTTCGCACAATCATTCCGTAGCAGCAGTTCCGACCTCTTCTATGACCGTTACCCTCTACCCTCGTGGAAGGAGGATGAGAAGAAGAAGAAGGAACGGTTCAGGATCTCGCCGGAGGAGGCCGCCGCCTTGAACCGAGGCTTCCGCGAGCATGACATCGGCCGATACACGCCGGATCAAGTCGAGGAGCCGTGCCAAATTCGCGCCACCGAGAATCTCAGAGATCGGGACGACGGCGCGCTCGCCGATACGCGTGGCGCGCTCGTAGCGCTCGCCGTCGTCCGGTGCCCCAACCTGCAACGCCTGGGGTGGCAGGCCAATGGGTGGCCGCTGCAGCGCGCCATCACCCGGGGCCCGCTGGCCGAGTTGACCGAGATGAACTGGTCGTGCCGTAGCAGTTTGTCCGGCCGCAATCTGCACAGCAGTCTGGTCCGGCTGACGGCGGCCGCCCCCAAGCTCCGCAAGCTGACCCTGGGAGGCCTGATCGCGCTGGACGAGGTCGCGCGCTGCTCCGTGAAGGACCTCGTCCTCCACGAGGTCGTTCTGACGGAGGGCATGGTCGGCCGGCTGGGCGAGAGTTTCCCCCATCTGCAGCGACTGTCCATCCGCACCGACCGACCCCTGAAGGTACCCAAGGACCTCGCCAGGCCCGCGTTCGTCGTCAACTGGCTGGTGGAGACGTACGGGAAGAGCCTCCGATATCTCTACTGGTTCTGGCCCTCCTTCTATCCCGAGCGGTCCCACGAGCACCGAATGGCAACGTCGCTGGCGGGCCTCTCGGAGATCACGGCCTTGACCGAGCTGGACTTGCACACGCCGCACTTACACCGGCCACCCCGCTCGGACACGGACGACGACACGGACATGGACGACGACACGGACACGGACGACGACACGGACACGGGCGAGGAGGAGACGTTCTGGACAGGCATGCTGGGGCCTAGCCTGGAGGTGCTGCGCGTCATATGGATACGCGATGAATGGCGCGCGGTGCCGCTGCGGTTGGCCATTGATAAGGCGTGCAGCAAAATGCGGGAGGTGGATGTCACATGTCGCTTAGCACCAGACGACGAGGCCGAGCTAACAGTCATGAAGAAGCCTCAATATAAGTTTGACTGCCACCCCATTACATCTCGTAAGATGATGTAACTAACACAATTCACCTACACTTTAAAGGTATCTTACTAATCTTACGTATCGTACCCATCTTAACCATCTTAGATACCTTAGGTTAGAGTTATGTTATTACCTTGTTTGTTTATATAGACCGTAGGCCAGGATTTCCACAGTCTATGCCAGATTATAAATACGGGCGGCTATTCCCCGTCTCCAAGGTAGCTTTAGAATAGACATCTAATAACTACTTATAGTATACTGGCTTAAGTCCTACTCTCTACAACGACGAGTATATATATACCTGTACTATAAGGAATAAAGTTTTCTTATTTAAGTTGAACAAGAGTATGTAACAATAACGATAACAAAGAGCAAAGTACAAGTACGTAGGCGAGCCGCTGAGCAAGTAGGTAGGCGAGCCGCTAAGCGAGAAGCAAGAACCCCCGATTGTTTCCACTCAAAGAAAACGAAACAAAAACAAAACAAGCCAGGAGAAACACACGGCGGCTTTCATCCCCTCGCACGTGCCGCTGCCCTAGTCGTCCTTACCATTGAAGTTACTTAAGAGCCCGCCCACGCCCTACCAACAACGTGAGCGTAATCCACCAACACTAGATGCCCCTATCACCATCACCACCTAACACATCGAGATTTTCAGGCCAGATCACGTACCTACAGTATGTCGACCGAGCCAAGCTCCAGTCCTACATACGGTAGGCACTTTCCCCTCACGAGACTAAGACACACCCGCTTACCCTCGCTTCTAGATCTCCAGATCGTCTCAACGCCACAATGCGCTGAAACTGCCTCACCCACGTTCCGAACCGTCAAGACGCACGGTATCCTCGCGCTCCCCGTGGAGCTCCTGGATTTGATCATCGATGCCTTACCCCGCGGGGTCGTCCACGCGAGCGACCGGGACAAGCGGTGGGATAAGGATAAGCTAAGAGAGCACCCCGGCACGTTCTTTAACGTCGCGCTTACATACAAGACACTGTCCGCGGTGGCCGTACCACGACTATACCATCACGCCTCGACGAAAGAAGATAACCGCAAGGCCTTACCAGGACGCCTAGTCCACACCCTCTGCCAGCGGCCGGACCTGGCCGCCCTCGTCGCCGAGCTCACCGTCGACAGCAGCAGCTTCGACAACTTGTTCAGCCTCGTCGAAAGCCAGCGCCGGGGCTCCGAGTGGCGGCTTTCGCCGCACGAGGCCGCCGTCTTAAACCGAGCCTTCCGCGAGCATGGCATTACCAGGGTCTCGACGAGCGACGAGTACCTCGACGCGGCTAATAAGCTAAAGGAGCAACGCCAAGGCGCGGAGAGGCCATACCGCATTAACGCCATAAAGAGAAAGATGGATCAAACCGACGTCGACCGGAGGCGTGCACAAAAGGCGGGCGGCGGCGAACTCGCGGCGCTCGCCATTATCAAGTCCCCCAACCTGCGGTGCCTAGTCGTAGAGCATTAGGACGAGGAATGGACGCTGCCGCGCGTCGTTAAGTAGCCAGGCGTGCTAAGGTTGACCGAGGTGTACTGGTTGAAGCCGCTAGCCCATTTGCGCTGGAGTCTGGACGGCAGCCTGGACTGGCTCCTTGCGGCAGCCCCCGCGCTCCGCAGGTTGACTCTACAGAACTTGTACCGGATCCGCGCGCTCGCGCGCTGCCGCGTGACCGAGCTAACCCTTAAGCGTGCCTTCTTGGACAAGGAAAGCGTCCGCCGACTGTGTAAAGCCTTTCCTAAGCTGCCGCGACTTATATACAACTTTAAGGTGCTCCCCTTACCCCGCTCTAATCCCTACTTACCGGACACGGCCAAGTGCGCGTTCATCGTCGGCTCGCTGGTCCAGACGTGGAGTAAGAGCCTTCAGCATCTCAGCCTAGACTTGTCAAAGACCTGCCGCGAGCATGACGGCTCCAGGTCCCTGAGAGGGCTCCGGTCGATGACGGCGCTGACCCATCTGACCGTACACTCGCCTTGCGCACACCAGGGACGACACGAGCCCGACAAGACGTTCTGGCTCAGCCTTCTCCCGCCGAACCTAGAGGTGCTGAGCATATCGGACCCTGGATCAACATGGGAGGCGCTGCCGCTGCTGTCGGCCCTTGATAAGGCGTGCGGCAAGGTGCAGAAGGTGAGCGTGGAGAGCGATTACGCACCAGAGGACATAGCCGCACTGTAGAATAGGTTAGACTCGGGGAACATAGGCTATAGATTTTCTTATAAGGCCTAGAACAATTGCCCTCTTTCTAAGATAACATTATTTGAGTAGTAATAAAGAGAATATAGGTGATGAGGAGTACAGTGAGTACTATTTCTAAAATGGCTATATACTAGTAAGCATTTAAGTTTCTAAGACACATAAATTAGCAACGACAGTGAGATTATGGGTGATGAGAAGGACGGCGAGTACTATTTCTAGAATGGCTATATACTAGTAAGCATTTAAGTTTCTAAGACACATAAATTAGCAATAATAGCGAGAATATAGGTGATAAGGAGTACAGCGAGTACTATTTCTAGGATAGCCATATACTGGCAAGCATTTGAGTTTCTAAGACACATGAATTAGCGATAACAGTGAGAACATAGGTGATGAGGAGTACAGTGAGTACTATTTCTAGGATGGCTGTTAGGGTCCTATTAGGGCACCTGTTAGAGCCCCTACATTATATGTGTTAGGTGCGTATAAGCACCTATAT